TTCTGACTTCTTCATAGTCGGGCCATGAAACATCTTTCCATCGTCCTCTCCTTCTCGTGCTGTCCCATTTTCACTACCAGTCGGTAGGCTGAAGAAACGTACCAAGCATACATTTAGTCACTATATCACCTATTCCAGTTGTACAAGAGAATGTTCCGTACCACCGCTTCCTTTGACCTCTTCGAAAACAGACCGTGCTCACATCAGGAACATTGGATATATGTCGATCTGGAGACTAGGCCTATAGGCAACCAAATTTCCGCCACATTTGAGAATGTTTCGTCATGAAGGCGAAATTTTCCGACAGTTGTACTCACCTTATCATGGCGGGGAAGGGCGCTCATAAGCACGCTCCACGCGCTCATCCTTGCTCACATCGTTCTTTCCATTATTTGAGATCCTTTATCGGGCTGCTGTAGTAAACGACACAAGGACCTACTCGTTTCTGTCCTTGTACCATCCATCGCATTTCTTGCGCTTTTAGTCTTACGAGGACAGATATCAGCTGGGTAGCGGAACCTTCTCAATTAAGGGATCGGACATTCCTTGCAATGAGGGGTTTTTCATCCGAGTCAAAAAAAACTTTTTAATCGAATTGGCTCCTACGGGCCGAGTTCCAAACCCAGTCCTAAACCTCGCAGGGCGATTACTTAAAATTTTTCGCCGCCGCACCTCTGCTGAACACCCTTCTAATAGTCCCTCTTTAACGAAATAAGTTCCCATCGTGGGGTTCATCGTTTTAGGTACAACCAAATAATTCTCCTGGTAACCGAAGGTCGGTCCACTGGGCCTTGCTCCTATTAACTTCTTGAACAAGCAGTGAAGTTATAGCAGAGCTACAGGTAAAAACGTTGCCATCTTTCAACTGGGGCATTCGCCTGCGGGTGGTCCCGTGTTGCCTTCGAATGGCTAATGCCAAGAAATTTCATTGGTGGAGGGAATCTGCAATCTGATATTGGAAGCCGGGGTCAGTTTTAATGACAAGGGGAGCTCCAAAAACCGATATCCATCCATTAATCAAGGCTTTTACCACAGTCTTATTCCTTTTAGCCGCAAACAGTATATACATATTGTATATATATATGTATATATTGTATTATACATTGTGTATATGCATGTATGTACATATGTATGTGTGCATATTCGCTTTTCAATTCGTGCGATAATTCCATTTTCTCACAAGCAAAAGAAGGTGAAAACGAAAACCAGTCGGCAGCCGGAGCGGCTTGTGAGCAATGAAAATTGCAGAATCCGCTTAATCGCGACGAGCGAGTGCAATCAAGAAGCGCCACAGCACCACAGCAAAAACAGTGAACTCCAAAGTAGTTAATCCGTGACAAGAAAACTTTCACTGCCAACTTGTGAGCGCTGCAATAACAGCAACAATAATTGCAATGCAACCAACACACACACACACACACACAAGCATTGAAATAAATAAATATTTAGTGCTGAAGACAAATTTGGCAATAAAAAGAAAAACATCCTGGAGCGTAGAGCAACAATAGCAGCTCGCTCCTCAAGCGCTTGAAGCACCGCAATCAAGCAAAGATGAAAACTGCATTCGAGCGAGATAGATCCGGAATGAGCCGACGAATGAATTCATTCATGCGCAAATGAAAAGGCAATTTGGCCTAAATGTTGATGGAGCACTTGGTCTTGGCTGGAAGTCGCAACCGCAGCTCGCGATGGCCTATGAGCAAGCGAAGCGAGGTGTAAGCGCATGAATGTGGTTGGTAGCGCAAAGCGCGGGGCGCGGTGGCGGCGCCAAAGAAACAGCAAGTAAGCAAGCAAGTTCGTCGACAAGTTAGGCAGCGTGCGAAAGTGAAATCGCGTCTAAAAGTGGCCCGCAACGATTGTTTATTTTCAATGGAGACTTAACGGTGCCAGCGCCAGTTGCAGTCAGTCGCGCGACCCGCTCTCACCCAACCAATAAATGGCGGTTGCTTATTGGTGTATGGGCTTTTCCTATACGCGACTTTCAATGGTCGGTCGCACCACTGCGATGACTTTGCGGAAAAAACGTGAGCAGACGTGCGAAGCCCAAATGAAAGTGACACTCAAGCGCGGCCAATGACCTTTCGTTACAGTTACAGTAAGCGACCGATCACGAGGAAGGAACTGGAACTTTACCAAAGTGCGACACGCACACAGAGCACACACACACAAGCGTACGTGGGGAGAAACATGTGAAATTGGCTGCGAGTTGGTCGGCTAATGAGCTCATAACACGTGATTACAAGCCACACTGCTGAACGCTCGAGACAAAGGTAATAAGCGACAGCGATTAGTATCGAACCGCCCATCGCATTAGACTCAGGTTGCTGAGCGCCACGGAAATACCGCTGCTCCAATTAACCGCCTTTACGGTGGAAAATTAGCATGAAACCACAACTATAATGCCCCGACACCAAGTGCTCCAAGCACTGAGTGTCTCGCTGGACACTTTGTGGGCAGCAATCGGCTGGCGACGGGCAGCGGATGGCGCGCAACAAAAAATAATAATCATTTATACTAACAAATTAACTGCACAATTCTAATAGAATGGACTAATTAATTGAGACGCGCTGCAGTTGGCGATTGACAGTGTGGCTACAAGCGACTGTTGCCAACGTAAGCTCCATACATACAAACATATTATGCATACTCGTACATACAGACGGCCAAGCAGCGGCGGGTAAATAAAATCGAAAGTGGCATCTAAATTAGTGGTTCGCATGGAATGGAATGAACGACTGAGCGGCTGGTGCGGCTTGACGAGGTGTCTCGTCAGCTCACAGCCTCCGGTTATGTGTTTGCTTTAATTTCTTTATTTACATACGAGCTCGTATTTATAAGGTGGGTAGGGCGCATATTGACGTCACACAGCTGGCACTCGACTGGACTCGGCGCAATCGGCGTGCTAAGTTAGAAACATTCTTTTCAGACAGCGGTGTCGCGTGGTTAGTGCAGACAAGAACTGCTATTTATAGAAAAATAACAATAACAAAACACTTTTGCGCAGGCGCTCTCGTCAGTTCCTACTGCAGCGCTCCTTAATTGCCACAATACATGACCTTCCTCATCTCGTCATGTTCGAATGAGACAAATTACATCCGGGCAGACAGGGGGGGGGGGGGGGGGGGGGGGGGGGTTGACGTACTGCCTCTGCTTTGACGTAGGCACCGCTCACCGGAAACTGTTATAGGTTAAAGCTACGTGAAAACTCTGTGTGGGTATTTAGTTTTGGGGAAAGGCAAGGTATGCCCTTAAACCATTAGCTCGTGCTGTGGGCAGCCCAAGTTCGAGTCCAATTCGAAGAAAGGTGTCTGGAAAAAGAACTCTAATGAGGAAACGTGGTGGTTTCCAAAATAACAGCTATAACTTCTACCGTCCAGTACTAACCCCTGTCGTAAGAGGCGACTAAAGTCGAATAGTTTCCGCGACAGTAGGGTCTTTATACCAGAGCCACCCGGATTTTTATCCGGCCAAGAACTGTCACTTCCGCAACATTCCCCAAAAAGTACAAGGCGGTTACAACAACAACAAAAACAACACCGTCCAGTACTTTTGTTGTAATTTTTTCACTAATTCCCAAAAATATATGGTCTGAGACAGTTCCATAAATCTCAAAAAAAAAAACCCAAAAAGGAAAAATATTTCGCCAGGCCTCAATTGAACTCGCTGCCAACCCCGCACACGACTGGAAAGCTTTAGTAGCAATATATGTAAATAACGGTATAATTTATGCAAATATTTCTTTACATATCTATCTCTCGATGATAATATTTACCGTTAAGTGGCGCCGGCGCCAACACTGTCGCCTGTCGCCTATCAACCCTAACACCCTTCCCTTATAAACTCGCTGATTAATTAGCTCAACAAATTATTAATTATGCGCATAATTTGTCATCGATCTTTGGCTGGTTGTCTTTCATAAATATACCCATAATTAGCCATCAGCCATCAGACACCTCTAAGAAGAAAAGACACTTGTTACATGGAAGTTTGCGTGGCTGTACGTATGTATACAGGGTTAAAGCCAATACTGGTTTCGAGCCGTCGACTCAAGAGTATATTTCTTACATGAAATAAGGGCTCAATGGGCATTAAAAGTCTAGGTTCTTTCTTTACATAAATATGAGCATGTATACGGCAAATCGGCAGAGAGGTCTGCGAACACAGCCGCTTACTAGTTTATCAATATGCTGAGGGACCAAAGATTAAAACGTCTCAAACTGTGCGAGAATTGATGACCTCGACGTTGCCGCTACAATAACAACAACACTAACATGACCGCGAAGTTTCACCTATCACAAATCTATATACATATATGAAGATTTGTTTGTTCACATAACCTCATACATATATAAATAAAATTGAAATAAAATTGAAAATTGTATACTTAACACTTTTTATTCAGTATAAAATTTACGAACTTCATATTTACCCTGTAATTACATTATATTTATAGCCTTGTAAGAGTATACAGTTTGTAAGGCATTCACGACATGTACATACATAGTTTTTGATCTACCACTGCAGCTGACGATTGTGCATAGTTTTTCTGTATTATTGTTTAAACATTAAGTTATATTTCTTTTTTGAATTGTCATAAGCACTTTTACCGCCGCTACATTTGAGCTCTCATCTCTATCGACCGTTTCATTCATGTCTGTCTGCCGCCATTCATACACGTACGTCACATTCATTCATTCAGCTCAGCGTACGCTTTAAGCAATTGTCGTTTATTATTTTTCCTGTTGTTGTGGGCGTCGTGTCGCGCTCTTTAATGAATCAAAATTAATTGACGAGCGCAAAAAATGTTTGTGAAGGGATTTTTGCAAATTAATTGCAATTGCTTAGCAAGTAGCTGACCGCAAGTAAGGGATTTTGAAACGGAAATCCTCATATCATCCGTGTTGATTATGAAAAAAAAAATAAGACGGATACAAAAAGAATTCATAATTTTTAAATTAATGTTTAAGTTCATTTCTAACAACTAACAATAAATCAAGTGATTTTGTTTAATATACAGCTTGAGTCTGTAATTTGCGAAATAGTGTTTGTGCTTAAAAGATTTAGCCGTGGCAATGTCGCTTGTATTCCGTAAATTATAAAAACTATTGCATACTTTCAGGCATGTGATAAAGTTGGTCGCCTACATTGCAATCATCATATAGAGATTTCTCTAGATATGTGCAAATCTAATAGTATATTAAAAAATACAACTAACAAAAGTCACTTAAATCCATAATTCAGGATTAGAATTTTCCATGTTCATTTTCAGGCGGCTTAGATGCACTGCAATAAAGTAAATGTAGGATTAGAATCTATTTTAAATGCTCAATCAAATACTCACTCAGTCTTTCTGGCAATTAGACACACATTTTCAAGCGTCACTTCCCGTCCAACATAATATTTAAGATGCGCCTCAAATCCATGCTCCCTCAAATACACCAAACGCCCAAAGTCAAGTATACGTTTGCACATATCACCAATGCGCTCGCGCTCAGCCAAAGTTAATCGTTGCGTTTTATTGGTATCAATAACATCTTCAGGCATTTGTGCTTGTTCTTCAAGCGCGCGTCTACGCTCTCGGCTCATGCCAGTACCACATATAGCCCAACTAGCCATTTTACTTATCACAGCAAAGTCACGACTTAACAATCCGTGCTCTTGGAAAAAGCCTTTTCCAACATAAGCTTGCCAGTCACAGCGATGATGACAACATAACGCTATTAGCACGTATTCTGTGCTAGGCGCACTGACCGTTGAATTCGCACCGGTCGGCTGTGTAATGCAACGTAATGTTAAATCGGTAGCTGCGCCACATAAATGCTTAGATACCGCAACGCAACGTTTTGTGCGCTGTAGCAATTCCAGTCCGCTCATACGAAAATCGCTAATATCAACACGTATACGTTGTACCAGAGATCGATCTTCAATCTTATTATCTTTTTTATGACGCAAGGACATTCGGTCAATCAGTACTACTTGTGAACCTGGTATTGTTTCGAGTAATTGAGCGAGATAATAGGCCAATTGCCCTTTACCTGCACCATATTCTACATAACTGGTGCTGTCTTGTAGTTGGTTGTCATTGTCAAGTATGCCAAGAAGCGCAGCTGCCTGCAGTAGGTGCTTTCTGGCTTCGGGTCCGAATGAAGTATTTGCCAATTCTGCGTCCAGTAGTTTGTGCTGGACATTTAGTGAATCTATGTTGTTTTCCACAAATTGTGCATAAAGCTCTTTAACACGTTCCACTATAGTGTAGAATTCTACATCAGGTAATTCGTGTAATTTCAGTTTACTATAACCTGGTGAATCAGCGGCTTCTTCCCCTACATTTATACCCTTTTCTATATACGCCGGACAATCACCCTTTTCGCGTGCATTACATATTTTGAGATGTTTTTGTAGTTTCTTCTTAAATACTGTGTGCTTGGGGTCCAACGGGCACGGAATACGAAAATTGACTTCGCTCGCAATTTCATCTTCCGCTGATATCAATTCAGCAGCCGGTTGATGTTCTCCACAATACTTTTGTCCTGTCTTTACTGTCATTTTACAAAAGCGCTTCTTGCGGTACACCCAATGGGCACAATTTGTTGTACTTTCACCAACATTTTCACTTATTTTGGGCTTTTTTGCCTCCACCTCGGAACCCATCACCTTATTTAAGTTGGTTGGTTGTTGGTTGTTGGTTTGTTTTGGAAAAACGTGTCATAAAACAGCTGCTGATTATTTATTTCAGCTAGTCGCACTGAACAGCTGTTTCACAGGGAGCTCAAAATTACAAGATAATTGGTTTGAGAAACTGGCTCATACATCACTAAATTATTTGAAATGCTGTTTTATAAATAGCCAAAGAAGCAATGCACTAAAACTCTGATAACGAATATAATCAAAGAGGAACACATTTGCCAATGTGAATGTAATTTAGCAAAATCTTAGGTTTTGATCAACAAAAGTTTTCTTAAACTGGCAATGCTTGTGATCGGTCAACCTTTGGACCTGACATCTGTTGCAGGGTGACTTATCTGATTTCTTCAGACCACAGTGGGAAACATTTACAGACTCAATTAATCTTCGCAGGTTCGTTTTTAGTTGGTTTGGAGTAGAAGTTTAATATTAAAAATGTCTCGTGTCCTTGTTGGAGTTAAACGCGTTATCGATTACGCTGTGAAGGTAAGTAAAAGTTATGGGCACACCATAAAGTCGTTTCCTATCAGCTCTTATCGCTTTTAATTTTTATAGTCTTTTGCGTAATCACAGAGGCAATGTTTACTCTGCTTTGGTTTGATCTTGAACTAAAATACGTAATTAAATAAACATCCATTTCAGGTGCGAGTTAAGCCCGACAAGACTGGGGTGGTGACAGAGGGTGTGAAGCATTCAATGAACCCTTTCGATGAAATAGCTGTTGAAGAGGCTATTAAACTAAAGGAAAAAAAGATCGCCACAGAGGTCATCGCCGTCTCTGTGGGTCCCACACAATCTCAAGAAGTGATACGTACTGCTTTGGCAATGGGCGCTGACCGTGGTGTGCATGTTGAGGTCTCGGGTAAAGATTACGATCTACTACAACCCATCCACGTATCGAAAATCCTTGCTAAATTAGCGTTGGATGAGAAAGCCGATTTGGTGATCTTGGGCAAACAAGCGATTGATGATGATAGCAACCAGACAGCACAGATGACAGCTGCCGTCTTGGATTGGCCACAGGGCACATTTTGCAATAAAGTCGAAAAGACTGATGCCGGGCTAACTATAACACGTGAAATCGATGGTGGCCTAGAGGTAATAAAAACCAAAATACCAGCTGTACTAAGCGCTGATTTGCGTTTAAACACACCACGTTACGCTACTTTGCCCAACATTATGAAGGCCAAGAAGAAACCGTTGAAGAAAATAACACCGAAGGATTTGGGTGTTGATACTGCACCGCGCATTGAAGTTGTTTCAGTGGAGGAACCTCCTGTGCGCCAAGCAGGTGCTGTGGTGCCCGATGTAGATACGCTGGTTGGCAAGTTGAAGGAAGGAGGTCATATCTGAATCTGATTGCGTTATGCAGTCAACGTAATAAAAGTGCATTTATATAAATTAATTGATGTTATAATTATTTTTACCCTTTTTAAATTTACACTTCCCGATTAAAATTTCTAGAGAATTTAAAACAAAGTTGTATGTATTACTTATGATTTCATATGATATTTGTTACAATTGGAACTAGTGAATAAATTTCCCATGTTTTTATATTCCGGATTGGAGCAGCTAAATACGCGTTTTAATTGTGCCGTGCTATTCGTGATTTTATATATAGTCTGAAAATGTATATTGTAGAAGTATACATGCATACATAGCTACGCTCAAATATTCTAGAATGGTTGTACGCATCATCGGAGCAATAACGTTTTGCACAAATTTGGCTTATGCGACTTTTTAAATTCATCAATATCATTGCCATCTAATTAGTTGTGTTTGAAATGACGGAATGCTGTATCTGGCCCATAAATGGTTATATCCCGAGGTCAGGGCCGTTACACACATACATAAGACTTTTAAGGAATTTAATATATGCGAAAGATATCGTTATTTTTTATAAAGTATAAACTGTTTTTATTTACTACATTGATTCTAATGCACATGGCAGTGCACTTACATATTTATAAAAGCAATACCGACATGTACACACATATATCTTTACTTGCACTACGTTATAAATGTATAAAAATATCTACTAGCTAAATATAATTTTGTTACGTCTTAAAAATTAGCTTTTTTCGTAAAAATCGTCTCAAATGCTGCTAGAGGACTATGTTTCCATTATTCTTATACTAGTTGTCAAGAGGCAAGGAATTTCATGCAAATGCATACTTTAATTTAAAATACGAAAGAACATTTGTATATGGATATAAAATACTTTGCAGTGAATTTTCATCTTAATAATTAGTAAATGTAATAATTAATTAGATATTTACGATATTCAAATAGTGGATTATGGCGTATGTTGTTCAATAATACAGAAATCAGCTTCCTCAGAGAAGGTTTACCGCAAAGCTGTCTTTTCAGCGAAGCGCAAAATTCTGGTTAACATGGTAGTGATGCAGGGTATTTGTTTTTGTTGATGCATCTCCGGATTATCTGGTGTACAAGACTCAAAGTCAACAGCCACTCGTTGGCACACGAACGTCAAGAGCGTGAGCATATCCAGACGTTTGCCATTGGCAGCCAACTCAGCGCAAAGGGACTGCATAAACCATGATCCGCGTGTGGTATTGCGCCATGAGTAATATCCAGGTATGGTTGAGTAGGCAATCAAGAAATCAGCATGCAATGGAATTTTGTAGCTCATTGACGATTCGCCATCGGTCTCTGTGCGAGTCGTACGCCTCATCATTACGCCTGGGTCCAGGCGGTCACCTTGACAAGCCTGTATGAAGAATAATTTCGGTTTGCCTGCCAGGGTTGGGCAGTGTTGTGGCGTGAAATAAGACCAAATTTGATCCAATTTATACTGTACATCTTTTGCGTATATATAGCCAAGTTCACCATGCGATAGCACAGCAACCAAAATGCAATCGTTATCTTTATGGTCCTGTTGTGAAGCCCACTCTATATGCTGTTTCAACTTATGAAAACTGCAGTCCTTGAATATTTTCACATCAAAGTCTAGTTGTTTCAGAACTCGAGCTAAATTCTCACAATCGACATTAGTCCCAGCGCGTGACTTTAAAGTCGGCACATCGAAGTTTTCATGATTAAAGATAAGCGCTAAACCACGATTCTTGTGTCGCATGTTGTATTCCGCTGCATGGCGGTCAGTCACCATGCTTGCTGTGTAACTATGATAACTGCTGCCATAACCATTTGCGAGCTGGCCAATAGCACCTACACCAGTGGCGCCACCACCGACGCCAGTACCTGTATAATAACCGCTACCGCCGCTACCACCGCCACCTGAACTGCCCGAGGTGCCACCGAGCGAGCCGAAAGCATCAGTTAAATCGTCTTTTATATCAACTTGATCCTCGGATGCGCTCATGTTGGGAAATCTGTGAATCTCGTGCAGGAAAGTGTTTCGAATAATTCCTTAAATTATATATGTATCTACTTTATGATGCCCTTAAAATAGATGAGTCACTGGATTCGACCGTAGCAGAACGCACTTTGTTTAACTAGAAATGGATAATTTACGATTTCACGTCCACTCGTTTATGCTGCTTGTTGTATTTTGATGCGTTTTGCAAGCGCGTTCTCAGCGTTCTTTTATTCAAGCGCTTGTCTTTTGTTTGCAATTTTAATAGGTATGTCAAAAAAGCAACTCAGGGTTGCATTTTTAGGAAGAAGTCAGTGATGAACCGAAGCCGCGATATTCGGTCGAACATAACTAACAAAAACGTATATTATTTTACTACATTCATGCAATATTTGTAGCTTTCCCTTCGAAACAATATAAATATGATTTTCTTCTTTAAAAATCGATTAAATGTAGACATTTAGAAATAATTTAAACGGTCTCTTGAAGAAGTCCGACCGTGATTGCGTGGCGGAGGAGAAAAGGGACCATAAACTCGGCACATGATGCGGATATATCTCTGTCTAGAGCAACACACATGCATTGTCATTATCCAGCCCTAACCACCACCTGACACCGGTTAACTGGAAAATACATTCACGATTATGTTGTAGAGCTAGCCTTGGCCTGTATGAACAATTTTCCTAATGGTTAGCGTTTGAGGGGGCAGACACTTTATAGCGTTATCGCAATGGGTATTTGCAGCGGCTGAGTTAATCCTTGGAGAGCGAGGTCACCTAATGGGAGGTCGGGGAAACGTGCTGTTTCAACATGATCGGACCAGAGGGAGAGGGGGGTTAGATGTGTCGGTTTAGGGGTCATGTTGAGAGGTGGTCAATGTCGTGCGGAGACTCTCCAAACGCAGGGCATACTTTGGATTTCCTAGGGTAGAGTATGGATAAAAGGGAGTTTAACCTGCTACAATATCCAAATCTGAGTTGTGCCGGTGTCTCGCGGGTCTCTCATGGCAGCTTAAGCTCTTTGTCTGCAATAGGTGGTGCTTTTTCTCTGAGCACGCCATTTACGGGAAGAAAGTCTTTCAAGGTGCTGACTAACTCCTGGTGAATGCCTATTGGGGTGTTACCTAGGTTGCATTGCAATAAGAATTGCTTGCACAGCAAAGCATTATGATCCTTTACTCTTAGCATAGATGATTGGCTGTGCAAGTAATGCTCCGGGAACATTAGAAGGTTCCTTGTCGCGATCTTAAGGCGGCTCTGAGGGCAGTGATCTAACAAGCATAGTTTACGACCGGCCGGCCAGTTGCATTATAGGCTGCCTGCAAGGTTTCTTTATCTTCACACTGGGTGCTGCCGGCTAACGCCTTGAGTATTTTTCAACTGCTCTGGACTTTTGTGGCAATTCCTTCGTCCAGCTGGTGAAGAGGGTAGTCGGGGATTTAGTCGGTTGAATCTTAAGTTGACTTGCAGTGAAGAAGCGGAACAGGTCGGCGAGATAGCAGTTCGCTTTTGAACAAAGGTCGCCAATATCCTGGCCAGACGCCAATAGCGTGCAATCATCGGCATACGAGGTTAAGGAAACTACTTCTGTTGAGCCAAACGGGGTTAAGTCGCCGAAGGAGTGACAGCCTTTGGCCGGCTAGAACCGGCTGTCTTGAAAGTTGATGGGTCTATTAATAACGAGCACTGGTGAAAAAGATATTGGCCGCCTCAACTCAATTGAAAGTCGTAAAAAATGCAATTGCGTTTTGTTGACAAGTTGAAAAATATTTGTTCAAAGGTAATGGGATAATTATTTTCCTCTCAAATTATGCAGAACTTGAAGTCAGACGGTCATCTCCTGCTGACCGATGTGCAATTAGGAAGCAATTCCGGAATGAAGTCCAATCATCAGAACAGAGCAGAACATGATGTCGCCCGCCTTGGCAATCAAGCGGTTTTACTCCTGCCTAGCATAGAGCTAAGACTCCTTGGACAATATCAACCTCATGCGACTCTCAGTTTAAGTTCTTACATTAATAACGAAGGAATTTATTTTTTAATCAAAACTTACTGAAACCCTCACATATAAAAATGAAAATATTATAATTACTTGTGAAATTGTGTAAGAACTCAGCGAACGGGGATTACTCGTACTCAAACACCAGCCCGCTGCCCTTGGAGTTTCGCTCGATCCATTCGTCAAAGCGCTTCGATGACTCTGTTGATAAATAATTTCGCCAATCACCAATTTCACCTTTTCGTATGAATTTACTCTCCGCGCCGCTATGGTTACTGTGGACGTTGCCGTTCTGTCCGTCTGAGACATTCTTCAATAAAGGCTCCAAATTGACAGCGGGATTTGCCTGCATTTTATCGAATTTCAAATGTTCGCAAATCCGCGCCAAATCTTCGTCGGTGAGTTGATAGTCCACATTAAGAAATGTAGCGCAACGACGAATGATTTTCGGCAGATCGCGTTTCATGTCCTCATACTTTAGGAAGAGTATATTCGGCTCATTGCGGCGTTGCCAGAAGGGCAAGACATGATTCCAGTATGAGCCCATTGGTGAGCGCTCGTCCAGAAAGAGCTCGAGAAAATCATCGAACGGGCCTTTGAGTCCGTGAACCAGCTTACAGTAGTAGTAGAAGGATACGCACAGATCCTTAGGATTGCGTGCAGTGTAGATTATCTGAAACGCAGGTTTGCGTTAAAGGATTTGACTTTAATAATTGATATTAATTTATAATACCTTCGGCTTCACGCTTTCGAAATCGCGTGGCAGTAAATCCCATGTGAGATGTGAGCGTCCAAACCTCGGACGTGGCATGTTGCGCACAACATCAACGGTGTTGCCAATGGAATTGCTACAAATATCTCAATATAAATTACACTACACCTTCGGGTACTAACTACACTCGATGCCACTAACTTACGTCACCCACTCGTGATGATCCTCGCTGAAAAGCGCAGAAAGCTCAATCAACGGCGACCGCAACTGTTGCATCTGTTTAGCGCCTTCGAAATCCAGTTTATTCCCCAGCAGCCAAACCATTTCTTGAGCCCACGTTGAGCCAGTACGAGGATAGGAAATCATCCATACATCATCCTCGTAGATGGGCAGCTCACGTATAGAGTCGGCAATGCTCGTATATTTTCTCGGCACCACCACATGCCCGGGCAGGACCTCAATAAAGCATTCCTTCTTCGGAAAGAGTGCGTCAATGCGCGCGGCAATGTCTTTATCCAGCTCTTTGAAAGTTAGTTGCATTTTGCGTCTTTGTAGATTGTATTTATGAAGTCTCAGGCTGAGGACACTATGTCACATCCGTTTGCGTTGAGGTCTCGCGAATAACTATTGCAATTGTTGCTTGAAACGCCACACCAAGGTGGGCGAAATCGTGGCGAATGCTGAAGTGCGGCAGTTCATTAGGTGACAGGCGGTTGTGCCACCTAACTTGCACCACATTAAATGTGTACGTGTATGTGTGTTTTGCTCACAGCCGGTGGAAATGGAAATGACAGAGAAAGCCAAAATAATTTTCACAAAGCTTTAGCTTCGCAACCGTCGCGTGTGGCTTTGCAGTTCATTGTTTCCTTGCCACGCCAGAGTCGACTACAATTGGATTCAATACAAACCGGTTGATTGCAGGTGTCCGTAAATACCAAGCTGTCCGCAAGCATTTGTACACAAAGAAACAGATATTGCAAGCGAGTTGCGGCTGTGCTGCTGTTTGTGGGTTCATGCACTGCGCTCCTCCCACCAGCTTTGTTTAATTGTAAGGAGTTGACTTTGACAGCGTGTCTAAGTCTTCCCGCAAGGCTGATCTGGGTGAGCCCACTGACCACGCTCATGGAACCTATGATAAAGTTTACTGTCAAATTTGAGATTAACTCTCTGGAAGGAATGAAACATCAAACTAACATCGCTTAGAAAAGTAGATTTTCGACCTGATTCTGTATTCAAATATCAGTTGAGAAGAGCTCGTAGATTTTCACGATGTTATACACAAAAAGGGAGTGTAAGTGTGATCGCCTACTCAATTTGAGTAATGTTCAGAGCTGGAGGAGAGCTCGCAGTTGCATCCGAACAAAATTGTATTCAAATTGTAACCTGTGGCTCTAACGTCCATTTCTTATAGGTCTGTAGTTTCGTCAACTGTATTTAACTAATCTCCGGCACATATATTGAGGAAGTGTAGCCGCATCCTGGCGGACGATGCTCTGCTCGTTGGCTAGGAGAAACGAGATAGGTTTTATTAAAGGCTGCACTCAGAAAATCTAAGAAATTCTTCAAAACTGAAACATTTTCTCGCGTAATTAGCAACGCGTCGCAACACCACTTCCAGTGGAAAGCAGGGAAACATGGTTTTATGGCGCCACGAAGTAATGGTGATGTTGCCACCGTTAAGCCGACCAGTGGTTACTCGTTTTACTACTCCCGAATACGAGTTAGGATTAGGGCGGCCAACTGTATGCACATAAGTAGATGAGGTAAGACGTACAAAGAACAGAGGCGTATGCTCGGTGAGATGTATCTGGCTAGTTCATTCAGCAGAGGTGGACTAGTAAGAAGTGAAAAGTACAATAACTCTTTTATTGGCGGCGGAATAACTAGAGATTCAACGTAACTCCACTGGCGTAATAGTTATTGGTCAAAACGATGCAGATTTTGCTTTAGGGACTGGAGAGTAGAAACTACATCCCACATTTTTTTTATAATTTTCCCACTCAAATCCAATTTCATGTGTTGTTCTTGTACGATTTCAAAAACTAGGTAAGTGCTCTGTAGAAATTGCTAATCTTCAACTCCACGGATGTGCAGAGGATACCAAATTCTTGAATGAGACTCAAACCGAAGTCTCACAAAAAATCTGATTGCGTCTAACCAAAGAGTTCTCATCTTCAAAACTCGACACAAAGACTCCAAAACACTCAAAACTTCAAGTACAATTACATCGATTTGTATGCATGTATGTATGTACATATGTACATCACAAGTACCTTTACACTCAGCGTGACCAAAAGCAATGCTAATTGCTAACAAGCGGGAATTCTGAAGAAAGTAGGTAAGCCACAATCAAAATACGCAATCTGAGCCACTTCGAGCATTCAAGAGCCGTGGTTCGTTGAGCGCAGCACTTGCAACACAAGCCTACGTATGTAAGCATGCACCTACAACCGGATACATAACCAAGTTGTAGCGGAGTATTGCTCAACAAACAGTGTACGGACTGACGTGTACCTAGATTTGTCGGTGTCTTTTCTACCTTCGCTGTTTCTTAAGCGCAAGTTCTCAGTGTTTGGAATGAGTGCTTGTCGGCTTGTGCGATGTCACTCAAGTTTAGCCGAGTGAGCTCGCGTTTCAAGAGAAGTCTTACTTTGTTTTGAGTTTTTGAGTTTTTTGGCTGGTGGGTTGCTTAAGCGCAGCTCGAGAAGCGACTCAAATTTGCCGGCTCAAAGAAAGTTCCTTAGAAAGTATAACGTCTTTATGCGCTTCGAGCGGGTAGCAGTAGATTTTCTTCTGGCAAACTAAGTGGACGCTTTGCGCATGCGTGGTGCTAACTTCGAAAGACACATAGAAATCAAGTTGTACAAAGATTTTGCTGCAACAGATAGTGAGACACACTTCTCTATATAATAGTTTTCAAAATCCGCATCGTTTGAAAAATCAGTCGCGTGTAGCAGGCGGGTTGGTTAAAAACAAAAAAAACAGAAATACAAAAACGCGTATAGACTTTGTGGTTTGCGTGCGAATTGTGAAAGCTAAAGACGACGGTATCGCCCCACAACAATGTTGTTGCTGCGAAAGACTGTATTACTGCTCGCGCTGCTCTGTGTGAACGTCTCCTTCACCCGTTCGGCGAGCCAACAGCAGGATGATTCAAATCCACTGCTCGATATGGCCTCTATGTTCATACAGGAAGCGTTGAACAGCCAAACGGGTAGTGCAGGTTCCGACGCGGCTGGTGGCGTTGGCGGTGGCGCTGGTTTAGCTGGTGTGGCGTCACTCATAGGCAATTTAATGCAGGCAAATGCTGGCGGCGCCGGTCAAGGAAAGGCATCTGCTTCTGGCGCCATGCAAATCTTATCCGGCATCGGTAGTCTGCTGGCTACTGCTGGACAAAATGGAGCACGCTCTGGTGCTGGCGGTAGCGGTGGTGGTTTCGATCCAGCGCTAATCGGCAATGTACTGGAAATGTTTACCAACAGCGACGCGGATTCAGATGATGGCGGTGCTGGAGCGCGCAGTAATAGCGGCAGTGAGTCGGGTATTGGTCTGGATTCCATTCTACAGATTGCCTCGGTTTTTATGAATGCCAACAATGGTGGTGGTAAACAACAGCCGCAGCCGCATCATCACCAACAGCGCCGTTCGGTACATAATAATGTGCGCGAGAATGAGGTTGACGGGGATTCGGAGGAAAATGGCGGTTTTATGAGCCTTTTGCCATTGGTCATGCAGGCGGTCACTTCATTTGCTGGTCCCGAGGGGCAACACACACAAGAGAAACACAAAGGCCACGCATGGGTGCTGCCACCATTCTTGGAGCACTTGCACGTGGTATGGGATCACTTCTCAAATTCGGAACTTGCCGATGCACTGTACGAAAAGTCGGGTGTCAATAAGATAATGAAGGTAGGCTTTCAAATCTTTTCTCTCGTAAGTTATATTCCGAGCTTTGGAATGAACTGTTTGCTATGCTTTATATTTTCCAGGGCTTCAAGAGTCGTGATGGCAAATTGGATTATGACAAACTCTTCGATTCGCTGAATAATCAATCGTTCCGCAGGCGTTGGATTAAGTCGGCGACATTGTACTTGGCCGATTGGGCGAGCTATTTGGCGAATCCGGAGGTTTATCTGAAGTAAGTTTTTAACCTTTATTATACTGAGGAATATTTTGTATCGCCATGCGAAGATTCTCGCCGGGCACTCTACACATACAGGTGCCAGGTTTAAACAAATTACAGTTATTACAGCTGATTACCAAATTAACAAACACCGAACAAGAACTCACAGTCCATATGAGTGAGCACCGATTACCTACAACTCACTAAGTGAAAGAAGTAAAGAAAAAAGACAACAAAGAGCGAAGATTCTTTTGTAAGCACCTTTCTTTTTGGCATTCTCAATGCTTAGGTATTAATGAATTTTCTCCAAACCGGTTTTTTGCGGATTTATTTACTTTTCGGTCTCCTTGACTTTGCACTTACTCACACTGCCACTTAACTATTGACCCACTTTCTGGCATTCTCAGCGACTTGTTCGTCAGAACCGGTGCGTTAACGGCCTGCTCACTCGGTATGTTGTCACGCTTGGTATATTAGTTAGCGCGGTCTGGTCTGCGCCCGCATTCCCAACCCCTTCAGCCTACTGGCTTACTTTATCACTTAAGACATTACTCTTGGAGCTGTTTGTCTTGTGTAGGATATTTCTTTCAATTTATATAAACATGTTACAGTTATTCGGTTAGCGTCACATTTTTTAACATTAATGCTAATAACACAAGCAAATAAAGAAAATAAATAATTTCGATTTGTCACGACTCGTTTAGTTGCCCTATATTTGGCAATTTCGCTATTTAGTAGAACGGTACAGAGCCTAATGGGTTCTAATGACTACTCAATGAAGAGGAACATACTTAGAGCAGATATATAAAAACAAAGAAATGATAAAAATTATTTAATAAGAAATAATATAAAATAAATTAATACAAACTGCATTAAAATAAAATAAAATAAAATAAAATAAAATAAAATAAAATAAAATAAAATAAAATAAAATAAAATAAAATAAAATAAAATAAAATAAAATAAAATAAAATAAAAGAATTATTTGTTAAATAAAATAAAATTAAATTAAATAAAATAAAATAAAAAAATAAAAAATATAATATAAAATACAAATGAATAAAATAACCTAAAACTAAATTAAATCAAATAAATTCAAATAAAATAGAATTGAATTAATTTAATTTAAATAACATAAATATTATAAAATAATATAACGTAAAATAAACTAAAATGAAAAGAAATGAAATAAAATAAAATAAATTAAATAAAATAAAACAAAATAAACTAATCAAATTTAACAGCATTACGTTGAAAAAGACTTCATTATATAATTAATACCGAAGATTTGTAGTACTGCAATTGTTCTTCGTCATCGTTTTCATCTTAGAAAGAGAATTTAATCTTTAGCGGGGGAAATACGTTAATTTAGACAACCAAACCGAGGTATTTTCGACTCGACGTCTGACTTCATCTGATAGGAAATTCGAAAAATAATTTCGACAAAAATTTATAAATTATTTCTTTTTAATAATTAATATCTACTTAGAAGTCCGTCAATCTAAAAGAAAATTGCAAATGATTTTGTCTTCGAGAATTAACTTATTAAAATGCAATAGCATACTGCATAATAACGGCAATTGAAGGGAAAAAATCACACCACAAAAAATAAGAAAACAATCAAAGCAATGATGATCGTCGTCATAATCATTAACTCTTATTTTCTGCCATTTAATTTCACCTTTAAATTAAGGCAACGCTTTCTAGCAGCAAAACTTTTAAGTATATGGATACAAACACAAATTAACTTTTTGGTAGAATGCGCGCAGTTGTAGAAATGAATTTATAATGAATAAAGAAGAAAAAATGTAGTAATTTACAACAGACTTTCACTTTGACGACGAGCAGGCCGCGGAACTTCCCTTCATTATTTACGCTCACCTCCATAAATATTTGTATACACATACAGACATTTTGTGTGGATACATATACATACTATAAACATACGTATGTATGTACATGCCTGTATTATCTTGGCTTAGTCATATTTAGCTTCTATTGACATGCATTCCATAACATTATTTAACATTTTTTTTTGGTTTTTGCTTATTTTTGTCATCAATTTCATTGTATTTTCTTTGCCTCTGCCCGCAGATATATCCAAACGGCACAACTGATGTTCAACGGCTTTCTCAAATCTCAAGGTTATCCAAAGAGCACATACTTCGATCCCAGTCGCGCCAGTGAGACCATCTCAAATCTCTTCGATCATGTGGCCAAACATCATCTCAACGTGAAGATCGACTCGCGTCAATATGTGAAACCGGCTGTTGGCTATGCTAAAGAATTGCTGAAACTGGGTCAAGCGCGAGGCCTGTTGCAGTTTAATGCTACCGAATTGAGTGACAAACTCACAGACACACTCAATTTGGAGGTGAGTAGAAGAGTGAACAGCCGGTGAAATGAGTAGAAAGAAAGAAAGCCTTATAACTTCAGAAAATTAAAATTCAATCCAACGAGCTGAATAACTCTAGCAATGGCCGTTTGTCCGTTTTGATTTTTTTTTACGCGTACATCTAAATAACCGATTAAATCCAATAGAGGATTTCTTAAACATGCTTTATTAGGTCTTAACCCCCTTAATATTGACAGATTTTTGCACAAAGGGTGTTTTTCTAGACATGTGGTTTTCAAGAGAAAATATTTCGATTAGGTTATAAAAACTATTTCGGCCAAAGGACCGTCGCGGCTGGCTCGAAAAACATCTAGCTGAGAGTCCCAATTTTCAACCAAGCGCAGAAAATTCTCTTCCAAAGCGTCAATCATTTCAGGCTTATCTGCCTAGACAAGAGACTTCACATAACCACACAAAAAACAGTTCACCGGTGTTAAATTGAAGGCCACGCCATATGGCCACCACGTGAGATAATGCACTCACCAAATGTTTCATTTAATCTATTGGCTATTTCCTTGGCTGTGTGGCACATTGCGCCATCATGTCGGAACCGAAGGTCGTCCACATCAACATCCTCCTATTCAGACACGAAAAAGTCACTAACTATGGTTTTATAGCGTTCCCTTCCCACTTTTTGGGGACGTAACGGCTTGTGGTTTATCATATCAAGTAAGAGCTCTCAAAAAGAACCACTGCGAAAAAAGAATTGCCTCATTGAAAACCATTCGCCTTATTTCTTATAGAATAAAATTATAGTTTTAAAGAATACATTACTAATGTCTATGCAAATTTACTCTCTACAGGTCATTGAACCCGTGCTCAAAGTACATCGTGCCTACCGATTCATCTCCAAATCGCCACAATGTGACCGTTACGTGCTCTGTGAATTGAATTCTCCCGAACAAGATGCGGCTGGCAATGCGCGTGGACTTATTTCCGGTGTTAGTCCGAAAATCGTGAAAATCGGCAGCATGGGAGCTGCCATATTCATTAGCACCGAAACTGGCACACCGTTCTGGACATTGTTTGGCGTCATAAATGCGCCCTACCAATGTGAGGTAAGACCGGGGTAATTAGCACTTGCCGAAGTACCAAGTACTTTCTGCCACAAACACACATACGAGTACGTCTATACATACATACGAGTATATGTATATGCGCATGGCAATGTGACACAATTTGTTTTATTTTATTAACTTGATTGACCCAATTTGATTTGAGCGCGATGGCAATCGGTTTTCTACTCTTCTTTTTTACACATTTCGTGAGGTTTATTTTTAATTTAAATAATAAGTATTTATGTATGTATTTATATATGTATATCTTTTCTTTATTTCTACCTTCTTTCTAGGCCAAATATCCAGTTGATTGCAGTGGCTTCCATGAGGGCGAGGCCAAAGTGACCACTGAATATATGCACAATGAGTTGTGAGAACGCGGTTTGCTCGTGTGCGCTGAATACGAAGTTGTCTTTTGGGAAAACTGACAGCAACAGAGAAAGAAAGTAAGAAAGAAAAAAAAAACCAACCAACAACAGACGAGCTGTGGATGTGATGTTGATCTGCAAGCGGCGATCGGTATGGTGGAAATGATTGCGGCTGCATATTTTTAATTAATCTTAGTTAGCTTTTAGTTGTATTTTAAGCTTAAAATTAGCAGTTACTAAGATATTTGTGACTAATAAATGTCCAAAATTATGATACAAAAACATTTGCTGTCTTTCAATGGGCTTGAACGGATAATTTGGATATTTTGGATACAATTTTTATAACGAGGCGGCCGCAATTGCTGAGTGCTTAGTACTGCGTGTTGCCATTCTGAAGACCAGGGTTCGAGTCCTGATTCTACTAACATCCAAAATTATAGGAAAACAATATTTCTAATTGCGATCCCCCCTCGACACCGAAAGACAAGCCCTTAATTAATTGATGACTCTTGGAGCCAATTTTGCTTATTAACGTATCCACCGAGTGAGAAGTGTACCTAGTCTCTGAAGAAAGTTTTGTCCGACTAATCGCCGTCCACTGTTTGTTGATCAAGCGCCGAAGTATGTACGGCCTTGTGGCTGGCTTCAGTTCCAGTTCAGATCCAGTCTTTTTGAATTTCCTTAAAACTTTACCGATTGCTTGTGCGGTTGTTAAGGGCACCATTTTCATAAATATCTGAGTTTTGAGTCTTGTACTCTACCACTAGAGGGATAACCATGTATATATAGGACCGAGTAGCTAGTTTTTGGAGCATGTAGAAGTATCATTTTCAGTGCCAATATTTTACTCATGATAATTGTAAAAATCATCAAATTTCAAATTCTTTGCAAACCAGAAGAATAAGCTAGGACTGAAAAATATTTTCTTGAAGAATTATTAGCGCAGTAAGGAAGCCCCGGAGGTCAATCGGATCTTACGAGTACCGATTAAGACGATGTTCAGGATCGTAAATATTATATCGCCATTATTTTCGAAGAAACTCTCCCCTCTGTTGTCTTATGTTACTGCTTTCCATTCATTACTAAAAAATCTTTTTTTCGGTGCTTTTCTTCTTTGTTTATAATTTCGATATTGATACAAATATATTTACGATCATTTCCTGGAACTAATAAATACAAGTACGTATTTATGTATAAACTCTATACCGTAGTTTATTAGCACGTGCGCCATGTTAGCTTTTATACTTTTCATGAACATGTATGTATGTATGTAAGTAGTATAAAGGGAAGCGTATGAGCATGCTCAGCCAAGTTGTGTCCATCTATCTGTGACTTTGTCTGTCTGTCTGTTTGAACGCAAACCAATCACTCAGTTTCTCAACCAAATTTGGTACGCGTATGCATTGCTCGATTTTCGAAGGCTGATCTACAGCACAACAATAACATATATCTGTTTTTAAGTCAAAAACTCGTCGGAAAAGCATCTAAAATAGTGAAATTTAGTATTGAATGCACATAAATTGAAGAAAATTTTCACACTGGAAATCTTTTGCGTTGCGCAATAAAATTGATATGCTCATGAAAGGTATAAAGACTTTGGCCGGGCGTAGGACAGCACTTCTTTCTTATTTTTTTTTTGCTATTAAATTTCGAGTGCTTTTCAATAAATTATAATCTAACTAATAAAATTATCATCTACTTATTTACTTTCCTAAATACATACATACGTATATATATATGTGTATATGATATTTCAATTTGAACTTGATTGCATTGAATTGTTGTTGTTGCCTTAGAAGCGAGTTAAGAGCACTTAGAGAGTTAGAAACTACGTGTGAATGAATATACAATTTTTCATTTCTTCATATTCTTGCAGACCCAATCCATACCTTCCTGCAAGGCAAAGTAAAATATGAAAATATTAATGTAAGTGCATACATCTGTATGTAGTATATGTATGTTGTATGCATAAAATAGTTTTTGTGCACTCACTTTGATGCCCGTACCATCAACCGCCGAACAGCCCATTATCTGCCAGGTGCGCTCCTCTAAACGCACTAATTGCGCCGCTTCGGCTACCTCAGATGCTGTGAGCGCATTTGGTAAATCCTGTTTATTGGCAAACACCAACAACGGTACCTGCTTCAGGCGATTGTCCATAAGCAATTCGAAGAGCTCACGGCTGGTTTCTTTCAAACGTTCACGATCTGTGCAGTCAATTACGTAAATCTGTATGGTGAAAAACACAGGGAAAGAGTAAATGAAAAAGTGTTCAACTGTGCGCACTTTACATATGTACGTATGTATGTATGCATATATCCATTTCTTGTCTTTATTAACTATCTATTTACCAATACATCCGTGTTTGCAAAGTAGTTTTTCCAGTATGGTCGTATTTTCCATTGACCACCAATGTCCCAGACATTGAGCTTAAAACCATCAGCGGCCACAGATTTTATATTGAAACCGGCAGTTGGCGTCACCTGTGCCAATAGACGCGCCCAAAGCCATACATTTGTACATACGAGTATATAAAGACAAGTCAATAATTAAGATAAAAGTTGGTTAAATGCTTGTTATTTACCGTAGCAATGTCTTCGGACGCCAATTGCTTTAGGATTGTCGTTTTGCCAGCATTATCCAGGCCAAGTAACAGTATTCTGGCTTCTTTTTCGGGACTGGGGCGCAGTTTTCGCAGTAGTGATAATAGACCCTGTGATAAAGCAAAGAACGGAAAATTTTCAATAATAATAACAATAATACTGGATGGTTTATATATACACTTAAACAAATATAATTGGCACTTATAGCGGCTGAAACGATTTTCGATCGAGTTACTCGTTCAATTGGTGGAGTTTGCTTAATCTTAAAACCGCCTCCAAACGGCTCACGAGAGGAGTTATTTGTTTCTTAATAAACATTTTATTTAATTATTTTTCTGTTATTTTAGTTGTTCGTCTGGTCATTACACGAACTCCCGCTCCGTATGATTGCGCTTAATTTTTCTACGTTTTGTTATTATAACGGACTACAATCTCATTTCCGTTTATTTAAAACATCTTCAGCACCAAGTTCCACAAATGCAATCCACATTCATTTCGAGAAACTTTTGTCCACTTATTTGACAGCTGCGAACAGCTGATCGAAATGTAAATACAACGTTCATTTGTTAAACTCCACCGGCCGTTCCACTCGAGTAATTAATGGTGTTTCCGTGACAACGAGGGAAAATAAACAAACAACCATTAAAAATATATTGAATAATTTCACAATTCCCAATATTGAAGTTTACTGTAAAATCACATATGTATATGCATGGTATGTTGCATAATTTACGCACAAATAAATACAATTTCTAGTACTTGCCATTTTCTTCAGAAGATGCTGCTGTGGCTGTAATCCAATTGAAATCCGTAGCTACTTTGGATGAAGAAACAAAGTGCGAGCGCGGATTATATAAAACATAACCACCACTAACGGCAAATGAACGTAGACTAATAAACGACACACTGAGAGGGCAAACAACAGCAGATCCATCGTATCTATTAATTATCTGTGGCAAACAAATATAGAGCAGAGACTCGTTACAGCGGGGTGTACTTGAGGTTAGAACGAAAGAGACGCGGCTTCTAGGTTGATTGTCGGAAGCCGCGCAGTGTACAAACAACGAAAGCCCTTGTATTTACAATTTATCACTGCTGTGTAAAGAGTTTAGTCATCCGAATTTGTTTAGCACTTATGGAGTGTACATGTTTGCATGAACATGTGTAAGCCTAGTCAGTAAAAAAAACGTAATACGAATGCACGCTTTTAGTGGCTTCAATGGTTTTGGCCAGTTTGGCGGTGGTAGTCAGCAAAGCGTAAACGAATTTATAGGTATTGAAATCGTTTTGGTGAAGGTTACTCGTTTTTTTTTAAATACTATTTTCATGTTTTGTAGAGTTCTCATTGGAAAATACACCAAACGACCAGGAACATATTTTGCTTTTGGCGGCCAGTTGGAGTTACACTGCTTATGCCAGGGGTAAATATCTCGTATTGCGCGGATTTTTAACTGGCACACCTAATACCAGCATATGCCTACAAGCGCCTGGTAATATAAACCAATTGGCTGTTTCTGACCGTTTCGCTTTGGTGTTATGTGAAAATGGCAGACTGTATAAAGCTCCCACTGAAAGCACAGTCAAATTACTTGAAGTTAAACTCGAGACCGAATTGCAAGTGTTGCCACAGAAACGCTCTATTTTCGGTGAGCCGAAGTCAAGTGCAGAGCAAATGGCCAACATACACATAACACACATCGCCTGTGGCTCGAACATCAATGTCGCCATTAGCGCCACAAATACAGTTTATAGCGTGCCAAGCAAAATTCATCAATTCCCAAAGCATTTTCGTGTACAACAACTACAATGTGGTTTCGAACATGCACTCTTGCTTAGCGGCAATGGTGATGTGTATAGTTGGGGCAATGGTTTGTAAGTGTATAAAGTTTGTCTATTAGAGAGAATGCAATAAATGTAAAGGAAAATTTTTGTTTTGCAGTCGGGGACAGCTAGGACAGGATGTGCTGCGTGTTGAAGAGGCACCTGTGCTGATAGAAGCGCTCGCTGGCATCAAGGTAAGATTATTGATATTTAATCCTCAAATTAAATAATAAACAAATTCTTATCCTTATAGATAAATTGCATTGCGGCTGGTGGCTGGCATAGCGCTGCCATTTCAGCTTTCGGTGATCTCTATACCTGGGGTTTCAACTCTAACGGACAACTGGGTTTACGTATATTTAAGACAAGTACCCGTGGCAAACTTAAGCAGCCCACAGTGTTCACGCTGCCACAAATAATTGAGCTACCAAAGTGTAACTGCTGCCAGCAGAAAGTTGATATGGAAAGTGAAGCCGTTTTGAAGGACAACGATCGCCAAGCGGAATGTATGCCCGTGTGTGTATATGCAGGCGCACGCCATACGCTTTTGCAATTGAATTGCGGTGCCTTATATGCTGCTGGCTGGAATGCGCATGGCCAACTGGCTGTAGGGCGAAAAGTGGAATATTGTGATGAATTTGAAAAAGTTCTATGCGCTACAGACAAATACAAGGATAAGCGTGTAGTTTGCGGGGCTTGGTGTACAACACTTGTAAAGAAAAGCTGACAAATAAGTATAATTGCCTTAGTAATTAATTCAGTTTAACAACTATTTACAATAGTTCTCAGATACATAGAATAAAATTTTGTATGAAATACTTTTTTCATTATTTGCTTGAGCACTACTTAAAGAAATGAGTAAAATGGCAAGCAATAGAAAAAAAAAAACCATAACGATAGGCAGGAATCTCGTAATTGGTTATATGATGAAATATTTCGTCTAAATTACACCCTTTAGTGAAAATCTGATACATAAAACCATTATTTGTCACCAATTCTCACAAAATAACCTAAAAATTATCAAATTCGAAATCAGTTTTAAACAAATTGTAACGATAAAACAAAACAATGTACGTTTTATCTATGCATATGTACATACATACGTTCATGCCGATTTAAAAAACCTTTTTGCTTCTAATGTAATGTATTTATGTTCATATGTACATATGTTTGTATGTATGAGCACACAAATTTCACGGAATTAATTAAGGCGTATAATTGATATCAATTATCATTAAATTACTGAACTGGGATTCTTTAAAACGAAGCGAGATGAAACGAGTTAAAATTGCAAAAACGAATTGTAAATAATTATATACAAAAAATTTCAATTATTTTTGTGGCTGTTAATGACTTTGCAAATCTTTGATGTAAAGTAAACTTTGTTTTGTTGAGAAATGCAACGTTACAACAATTTCAACAATTTAAGCTGCTCAATATTACAAAAACAAAGCCATCACTATGCCAATTAATAATGATTTTTGATAGATATGCTTTAGATACTTTAAGTGAAAGTGGTGTAAGTTAAATTTTCATATCGCTAATAATTTATTTCGAAACTAATGGACAAAATTTTTGTAAAATTTCAAATGTTTTCCAGAAAATTTGTATACTATTTAGAGTTTAGCATTCAGATGGTCATTAATAGCCACGTAATATAAAAGAGATTTAATAACTAATGGAGTTTCACACATATATTGTATTTTTGTGATACCGATTTCATTAGAAAAAAAACTTAAATTTCTAAAAAATGCAAAACAAAAATTATGAAAAGTAAAACGATTAAAAAAACTGCAATGATTTCTGTCTTGTTTTCTAAAATCTAACGAAGGTAAAATATTTTTAGGGGCTACAGTTTTTTTATAAAAATATTAATATTTTTTATTTTTTTTGGCAGCGTTTTGAAGGCAAAATGAAAAATCTTTTAGTACCAACTATTTTTCTTTTTTGTACATTAAGACGTTGAATATCATTCTGAACCATTGCAAAGGAATATTGAAGATGTCTGTGTTTAATTATCGAATAATGCCAGAATATTAAGAGGCTTTTTGTATTTGCCAAATGCTTCAGGTTTGCCAATATAATCTACAAAAAACGTATTAAATTCATAATTTATTCATTACTCAATTCTTAATTTCATTTATAATTTTGTAAATTATTTAAGATTGAAAATAATAAAATTCCAGTTTTAAGGAGGAAGAGAAAAATCAATAGGATATTTTAATTCGTAAGGAGAAAAAAATTGTAAAAATTCTAAGCATAGACAGTATTACGGGTCACTTAGACTTTAAGGTAATCTGGGAAAATATGGAGAGAATACCATCTCCTTCCGGAAAGCTACGAAGAGCTTTACGGCGATGTGCACAACCCCATCTGCGTCTTAAGAAGGAAGATCTCTGAACATGAATTGGGTTCACCTCACGATCAACCACTTAAGCGGAGTCAAAAGCTGAGAGTAAACGAGCAAAAAGCTTTTAAAAGAAATTAGGATTGAATGAGAAAATAACTTGGAACATAATAAAGATTTCATGAGTGTCGAGGCGTTGAATAGAAATAGTCCGATGGGAACTTCTAGGTAAGAAGTCGAAACAGCCATCGGTTAAGGATGAAGTAGTTGAAAAAAGCAGATTAAAAGCTCATGTCAGAGGAAGACAGAGTACGAGGAAGTGCGCAGATGCCTTTTTTCGCGAAAAAATTATGAACAAGAAGGGAGTTCTGAAACGATTACGAAAAATAGAGAAGAGCAGAAGAGAATGAGGGAAATACTAGCAATTACAGTGAAATTAAAGGGAGATTATGTATTTTTCTCAAAAGCATAGAACGGATGCTAGGAACTCAGGAGACAGTGCCAGCTGTTTGTGGCAGAATTCAGAAAACTCCTCGAACGCATTGGTATGGATGATGATGTCTTGGTAACCTTTGCCGGGGAAACCTTTGATGTGAAAGTATATTTCAATGAAGACTGAAGAAAAGTTTTCAAATTACCAAGACCTGATATGGCTATCAGCATTATGAAAATTTCTGCAGAAACTGAAGGAACCAATGGCTTGAACAACCAAATCAAGTTCTTCGAAAATAGTAAAGATGTCCACCGTACTAAAACCGGGAGTATGTGACCCTGCCAAGAACTTCATATCAGATAACCTAAAAGCTTTAACTCATCCAAGTTGAAGATGCTCGTGGATATTTATATAAGTTCGCTCCTAATGAGGGCAGGCTGGAAGTGTCTCCTCCATTAGTTCAGGATACTCTGAGCGTTAGCCGCCTCTGAGGTTCCTACAAGAGTTCGGTCCTTATTTTCCAAACCACTCCTCTGCCACTAAAAATTTCTGTATAATTTCTTGAAAGAGAATTATTATAAACATACATAAATATAACAAGAATATATTTGTATGTATGTATGTATAGGAGATAATTGCATAAATATTAAGCTTAATTTTAATGTAAAAATGTAATTTTTTTCAAACTTGATTTTAGTGCTGCTTTTTAAAACTCTGAGTTGCAAAAGATCGACCCAAAAATTCCAAAACTGTAGAATCACCATCATTATTAGCTCTAAATAGACCACAACAACAAGCATCATTTTAACAAAAATAAATAGAAAACTTTCTAAAATCTAATGATATCAACAACAAGAGATGCCAAAATTCCGACCGAAAAACAGCAAAACTTTTCAACTCAAAATCTAGAAGTGTTGTTGTGCTGCAACAGCAAACCAAACATTTGTGGTTCTCGTTCATTTTGCGAACCGTTTAAAACTTTTCGGCAACTGCAGTTCAAATATACTGCAGTAACAACAACAACAACAACAACAATAAGCGCAAGTGTCAAACCATTATTGTTGCAGTCAGCAGCAGCAATTCGGCGTCAAATACGTACATACATATATTATATATGTATGTTGATATGTACACAGTTATTGTGGTTGTTGATGTTGTTGTTTTTCTAATGCAAGGATGAAGTTTGTGAGATTATCAAATTTTCCATACGCTTAGCATCGCTGTGGCATAGTTAAATTAGAAAATTTGCCACAAAGTTGCTTTGGTAACTGTAATAGCGGTTTAATGGCTTAAAGTGGTTTTGCGTTTGCTTTGGTTGTTTGATGTTTTGACAAAATTTGGTGTTTTCGTTTTTTCTTCCTTGTGATGTGATGAAGTGAATGTGATTTAAAAGTGTGTGTGTATGACGGTAACAAATCCCAAGGTCCGTTTAAAGCAACATCAATTCTATTGGTACTCAAGAGAATGGTTACTCCTTGGCAATTTTCGATGGTAACATTTGGAATTTGTAGGTGGAAAAGCTACGTCTCTGTACAACGAGATCCGCTACATATGGATCGTTGGTTGGTTGAAAGAGGGAGTGTGAGGACCTGACCGCAAGCGGCCATACCTAAGCCAGTGAGCACGCTCATTGTGCTCTCTCACGCATCCCAACTAAACGTTTGCGAAAATTTTCTTCCAAATATGCGTGGCCACCTCCGTGAGTGTGGAGGTGGGAGCATTGTTTCAATCAGCGGAAGCACCGAACATCGCAAAGGTAGTGCTCCATAGTTTCACCAGCCCCTTTGTACGCTCTGCACACAGCCGATTCCAGTTCACCGGACTTACGGAAGTAATACGCTCATAAGAATGTTAGTTCTCTTTCGATAATTGGGGTGAGCAAACTTAGTGTCCAATCGTCGACTATGCTTTTGCCAAGAGCTTGGTCGGTAATCCATCGGTCGCCACCGCTTTGTTATTTTTTAAGTCAGCGATTGCTATTTGGAATTCTTCATAGTCGGGTAACGGAACAACCTTTCCATTGTCATCAAGTGGAGTTTCGGGCTCACCATCTCCGGGTGTATCATTTTCACTGCCATTCAGAAGGCTGGAGAAGTGTTCCCTTCATAAATTCAGTATATCATCCGTCACTAGCTCACCCCTCTGGGTTCTACAAGAGCTTTCTCTGATCTTGAAACCTTCTGTATGTCGTAGTATCTTCTCATAGAATTTTCAATCATTACCCTTGTTGGCCATATTTTCATACTCCTCATTCTATACATATCGGCCTCTTTCTTTTTTCCCTGAAAGTGCGCTTTGCCTCATTCTTTAGATCTCCGTATCTTTCCCATCCCGCCCGTGTTGTGGTCGATCGCAAGGTTGAGGTAGGCAGTCTGTTTTCTGCGACCTTTGCGAAATCCAATAGCCTCGCTTGCAACTGTACGGTGGAAGTACGAGATGTCGCCTCACAGTTTCCTTATACCGGGTTGCTGATGAGTGCTCTCCGAGAGTAGCAGTGCAAGGTCGATTGTGATTTTGCTTAACTTGGTGACTTCAATAGGAGCTTGATTGTGAATAGAAGATACGAGTTGAATGCTTTTGTTTACTCAGCTATAATCGCGTATGCATTGGCTACGACAGGTAGGAAATAGAGACGACTCGGTAATCATGTGGAGCTGAAGGCAAATGAACAGATCAGCCAAGAAATCGCATGCACGACCTCCAAAAGCTTTCGCTGTTTTAACAGAGCCAATTAAGGTCTTCTTCATTCATTTTCTTGTGGTAATATAAACACCGAGCTGGACGATGAGGTTGAATTGCTCTGAAAGTCTAAACTTCTATTCCGTTACACGCCCACCGGCACCACACCAACCAACTCTCTCAGCTCTCTAATAATCAACCCAGAATTCGAATGCTTCTAATTTTGAATTAATAAATTTATGTATGTTTGTATGTGTGTGCCCGCATGAGCATACAAATGACCTTGAATTGAAATTCCACATTCTCTGCTAAACAAAATATCAGATTGACCTTTGCATATATTAACCACCAACACCACCGTGCAATTTGCA